CTGTTGATGCCCGTTTATCAGAATTACTTACCCCTGGCTTGACAGTCGTTCCTCCTGAGCCTGGTTTGGCCTTTGTGAAACGGATAAACCCATGATGCACTGACTACACTAGGTCAAACCTAGCCTTTTCGGTTATCCTGGATTTCTAAATTCTGCTTTTGTGAGACAGCCCGCTGCTCACCTGTTCTCACTACATACACCAGATCTTTCGTTCTTCTGTCAGTTCATCCTAGTTACTATGCTGTTGTTTTGAATGTGAAATATTAGCTTAAAACACTTTTTTAAAATTGACACCATTAAAAGCTGCAACGATTAGTTGACAAGTTGATCGGCAGGAAATTAACCATCAAAAATTTTAATATCATCTAATTAGTAACGTTTGCTGGTTGTGAAATTCTGCAATAATCCTCACGAGAGAAAGTGGCTTTTCTGGGTTTTATTCTTATACTTGGAAGTGGATATGATACAAGAGAACACCACATTACATAGCATTTCACTTACATATTTACTGAAATATAGTTCCATCAGCTCTCACTCTTGTACCTGCATGCTCTGATCTTCAATGTCAGAGACCTGAGGGAAACTGAGGAAACAAATACCCAGTCAGCAGCAAGTTATTGAAAAACAAGCCTTAGGAACTGGTTAAACTGGCATTAAATGTGTCACTGTGCGTGTTTCCTACAAACAGTGTGACATTTATTTCACAATAGCAAGTGACCCAGAGGGAGTTAATCCCTTTAAGGACAGTTTTTTCAGCCCTGCATAGTGTCTGCAGGCTCCCTCACACCAGTACAGTACAGCCCCAACTCTACCAAGAGGCAGCTTGTACGTTGCCTGAGTAGTAAAGAAAATTCTGATAATCACTGGCTACTGCCTGTGAAGCCAATATACTGTAACCACAATAAGTGAAGGCAAGTCGGATGAGCTTTTCAACTTTCCATCTAGAATTTGCCAGAGGGGGGTGTCGTGGAAATTGTATATTGTTGATGAGGGATTGAGCAAATAATTGAGTAACAACAAACCTTTGTCTTTGAAGAATTTATTAATAAAAAAAACAACAGAGAAGTACCAAAATCACCATCATCACCTCTTTATGGTGATTGGTTTTGGAATCGATGAAAAAGCTTGTTTGCAGTGGTAATATCTCCAAATCACTTTACTTACCCACAGTTATCTTCTTCCTTTGTCATCTGCCTTCGTGTTGATCTTCTGTATGTTGAGCACGCTCTTTCGTGCTGTCCGTCTTCTATGATGTGACATGACGTGTAAAACAGCTCTTCCTTAATCCAACAGCAATTTCTGGACTAATCCAGCTCAGAACTTTATAGGGTGTCATTGCATCTCATTTCAAACCACTGTAGTCATAAAGTGATGGTCATGCAGACTAAAGAGTCCTACTTGATTTGGTCTGTTCTTGCTGGTCATGCATGTGAGCATGCACTTAGTCCAGTGATACTTTGTACTGTCCTTTGTTGTACTTCAGACTACTTTCCTTCTTGTATGGCTGGACTGAAGTATATGATGATGTAACAATTGTAATTAATAAAGGAATATCTGCAGTGCAACGTTTTTCTGGTGTTTACTGGATCTGCTTCTGTCCTCTCTGTCAGTGTTTCAGCGTGGACGGGGCTTAGCGGCTTCTCCACACAGACACACACGCTGTTGTAACACACGGCTCCTAACCCTAATAAAGGATTACAGACAGTAAATTATTTATTATAAAATATTACAGATAAACCAGGACCAGAATCAGAATTTTCTAGACTCGGCAAGGAGTAGAATGTTGCTTGCAGTATTCAGTGACCACACAAGACAGTGAGTTATGAGCTGGTACCTTGTATTTCTTTAAACAATAACCAAAAAAAATAAAAATATAACCATAGGTTTAATATATAGTTCACTTTAGCGAAACACCTCAGTTTCTCTCTCTCAGAGAATTATTTCCTTTGGCACCTTTCTGTAAGGTTGAAACCACTGAGCTCGTATAATTACCTCTATTTTTCAACTGGGATAAAATCTATTTTCAACTATTTCTTATTTTCTTACTGGGTGCACCCCATTTTCAATAACTCAAAATCTAAATCCTCAACATTCACTTCCGGTGAAGGACCTTATTAAACAATACCTGTTTCAATATTGTCACTTCACATCTCTCAACAACTTGATAATCGTTCGCTTTTCACTGTATGAGCGATAGCCAAAGCCACAACCACCAGGACATCATAGTACACCATATAAACTAAATGAATTCTCAGTTCTGCAGACACCAGGGATGCGCTTCCAAAGGGATGCGGAAGGTAATTGTCCATTCAAAGTCCAAAATAAAAAACAGAGTCAGAGTCTGAAAATGTGGTGCTGGAAGTTGAGTACAAAAGTGGTGCTGGTTTTGTTAGCTGTAGGCCCATGCACTTGAACTCACTAGCTTAGCCTAGCACCTTGTGACATAGCATTTAATTATTTATTTTTTTACCGCGACTCACCAATTCGGGGATTTCTCTCTCTCATTCGGCAGGTTTCAGTTAACAGGGCCTCACACACGCACACATCTACAGTCTTGAAACAAAGTACAGACTGTTATCACTCTTATTTGACAACTTATTATTGTGATTTTACCGTTTTATCTGAGCTACGTTTTTACCGTTCAGAAACAGATCCTCTCCCCACAGCGTCACCCAGCGTCTGACTGGCACATGCAGTCTAGCCTGCTATGTTGCTGTAAACCTGCGCTCTCATTGGCTAAGACACTTCCGTGTTGTTAACCCTTTGTGACCTGGGTTATATCGGGTCATATCGAAGATCGCGCTCTAGCAAGAGCTAACTTGAAGTGAAACCATATTGGCAGATGCAAGACGCCAGATCAGCTCGTTGTAAGTTTCGATAGGATAGGAGTCCGATTATCCCCAATTAAATAGTATTATAATAACCTATTTGAACATCCTACTGTTGCAGTAGTCGACATTTATTGTGAACTGTCCCCACAAATGCTTGCACATGCATTTGAATATAGTATTTTCGTGATACAATTTGTAATATTTTCTTATTGAATTGTTGAAATGTTATTCACCACCACAGGATTAGACACTTTCTGATGACAAAAAGGTGCGTAAATTGTAAAACACAGAATTCAGAAAAATTTTAACTGAAAACAAAATCTGGCAAAAAATTATACGGAATCTGGCAAAAACATTCATGTATTTCATAGGGCCCTATCCATGGTTTCATCGCACAACATGTGAATGTAGCATAACTGTGGCTCCATCAGGAGGTGGAAAACTTTAGCAATAAAAATGTCAAAGAGGAAGGGAGAAGGTGACGAACGTTAACAGGCAAAAATTTGTGTGTTGCGTCGATGACGACACTGGTAGTTTCGGGGGGGTCGACCCCCCTAGAAAAAATCCTAGGAGAAACACTGATCTTGTCTTATTGTAATGCTAATTTTGTGAAAGTCATGCTTGAGCTGATTTGCTCATTGCTGTGTTCATCTCTCTCTTTGACAACATGTCCAAATTGCTCTAACTATGTCTGTGGAGCTGTCAAAGGTTTCAGTCAGACACGTCACGTCAAGAATGTCCTAAATGTCAATATTCCTTTTTTGCCTAAGATTTCTATCTCTGGGCATCTGGAAGGAGAGCCCATATGTCTCTTTATCGGACTTTTACTGGATCGGAGCACATTTCTTCTGTGCACCAGCTAGGGGTCTTTAATCCATGGTTTCTCATCTCACTGTTGCTGCCCAGTCAGATTTCAGCAGTAGCTTCACCCTCAGAATAGTCTTCTTACTGGACTGGATCTAAGACTGGAGCATACTGGAGGAGGAGGAGCAGAGTCCACGATTTAAACTAGACTCTCTCTAGTCATGGAAGTTGAGAGTTTTGGTAAGCAACAGCACCGTTGCACAGCAACTTAATGGCCGCTTTGTTTACACCCGGGGACCAGCTGATCACACTGAAGCCGACCGGGTCGCCCAGGCCCACAGACAGACAGACTCGGATATTGTTGACCACAATGTCTCCATCGATGGCTTTCAGACCGTTCGGGCCAACACAGATTGCACCGTGAGCGGTAATCGTAAAGGCGGGGCTTGCCGTTCTAGTTAACAACAGATGGTGTAATCCCGCTCACATTACGGTTAAACAGCGTAACTGTAGCCCGGACACTGAACTGCTTGCTGTGGGACTCCAGCCATATTATCTGCCACGGGAAATTTCACATGCCATCACTGTAGCTGTTTACATTCCGCCCTCTGCCAACCCGACGTCAAAGTGTGACGTCACCCACACCGCCATTGCTGAACTCCAGACTCAACACCCGAGTGCCCTCATATTGATCTTGGGTGACTTCAACCACGTCACCATGACCACCACACTAACCAACTTCACCCAGTATGTGAGCTGCCATACTAGAAAGGAGAGGAACCTGGACCTGCTGTATGCTAATGTTAAGGATGCATACAGCTCCCCCACCCTTCTGTGAGACCCCAAACCCCCCCCCTCTTACTCACAGCTCTCTCCAGCCTGACGACTCCTCCTCTCCCCATCCCTCACCTGTGACCTCTGTGTGCCTCACTGCTGACCAGGTGAGACAGCTGGGGACACTCCACTCCAACAAGGCTGCAGGCCCTGATGGTGTCCATCCCGGGTTGCTCAAAGCCTGTGCCCCCCAGCTATGTGGAGTCCTTCACCATGTCTTCAACCTGAGCCTGAGTCTCCAAAGGATCCCTGTGGTGCTGTGGAAGACATCTTGCCTCGCGCCTGTGCCAAAGACGCCACATCCCAGTGACTCCAAGGACTACAGACCTGTGGCACTGACCTCTCACATCATGAAGACCATGGAGAGACTAGTTCTGGATCAGCTGTGGCCCATGGTCAGCAACCGCACCTACGCCCACCTGGACAAGCCGGCGAGCAACAACTCCATCCGGCCGGCCCTGCTGGGTGAGAAGCTGACAGCGATGCAGGTGGATGCCCCCCTTGTGTCCTGGATTGTTGACTACCTGACTGACAGACCACAGTATGTGCACCTGCAACACCGTGTCAGACAGCTTGGTCAGCCACACTGGGGCCCCGCAGGAGACGGTCCTCTCTCCCTTCCTCTTCACCATCTACACCACAGACTTCAACTAACACACAGAGTCCTGCCATCTTCAGAAGTTTTCTGATGACTCTGCTGTGGTTGGATGTATCAGCAAGGGTGACGAGGCTGAGTACAGAGCTGTGGTGGGTGAACCATCTACAGCTCAATGTGACAAAGACTAAGGAGCTGGTTGTGGATCTTAGGAGAGCAAAGGCACCAGTGACACGTGTTTCCATCCAGGGGGTCCCTGTGGACATTGTGGAGGATTACAAATACCTGGGAGTGCACATGGACAATAAACTGGACCGGGCCAAGAACACTCAAGCCCTCTACAGGAAGGGCCAAAGCCGTCTCTATTTTCTGAAGAGGCTGAGGTCCTTCAACATCTGCAGGACGATGCTGAGGATTTTTTTATGAGTCTGTGGTGGCCAGTGCTATCCTGTTCGCTGTTGCATGCTGGGGCAGCAGGTTGAGGGGTAGCGGACGTCAACAGGCTCAACAAACTGATCCGCAAGGCCAGTGATGTTGTGGGGGTGGAGCTGGACTCTCTGTCGGTGGTGTCAGAAAGGAGGATGCTGTCTAAACTATATGTCATCTTGGACAATGTCTCCCACCTGCTCCATGACTTGCTGCTCAAACACAGGAGCATTTTCAGTGCAAAACTCATTCCCCCAAAATGCACCACTGAGCGCCACAGGAAGTCATTCCTGCCTGTGGCCATCAAACTTTATTTATTAATAAAAATACTTTATTTATTAATAAATAAACATGACTGTGACCTTGTAAATTTAAATGATATTTTATTTTAAATATTCAGTATCAAAAGTAACCAACTTGAATTGTTTAGAATATTTCATATTATATTAAGGATATATTATAAATATATAATATAAATATGCAAATGTGTGCACCTAAAACAGGGGGAAAATGGTAAGATGGACAATGTTTATGAACCTGACATGATTAAAATAACTGCACTGGGAATATTTGCATGTTGCAGCAGTTTCAGAAACAGTGAAAAAATGAAACATAATTTAGACAGATAGAACAAAAATGAAAATAAATAATAAAATTAAGATAAAAATTAAAAAGCTATTTACAGAATAGGCCTATATAAATTTCACATTTTGAAACGAATGTACATTTGTTTTAGTAAGAACAGTATGAGTGATCTGCATTTTGAGCACTGACCTCCTTAGGAGACAGGTCAAAATAAATATCAGCCGCTCTCTTAATATAAGCATGCAGCTTCCTTTCCTAGTCCAAGGAGAAGACTAATGTGATCTGTACCTGTGGTCTAGTCTTCTCCCCAATTATCGCCGCCCTCCTCCTGCATTAGCTTTATCAGCTGACCTGAGACTAATGTTTCTAATAAAGATGTCCAGAAACACCTTCTCATAAACATCTAGCTGAATCAGACCTCTGTCTTTCTGAAAAAAGAAATACCTGTGGTCAGGTGTAGCGGGACGAAAGTAACACTTGTTACTTTTGTCCCGACACGAGGTGGTGATGGTGAAATGGAAAAGACACCATACCTTTGTTGTGAAAGACCCGGGTTCAATCCCCCACTGTGACCCATGCACCATTGTGTCCCTGAGCAAGACGCTCATCCCCTAGTTGCTCCAGACATGTATATCAATTGTAAGTTGATTTGGATAAAAGCGGCAGCTAAATGAATAAATTTAAAAAATAAAGTTTAATGTAAATAACCTGTAGATTAATTACTGTAACACATGAATCGAGAGACACAACTTGTAATTCAAAAAAGTCCCACTTCAGAAATTCTAAAGCAGTTTTCCGAAGACGGCCGCGGTAAACGATGACGAAATCATGCGATATTGGCAGCTCCATCAAGGGTTGTGTGCTGAAGGTGCTGTCACAGCTTGGACTGCAAATGCAGTCAGGGCTCTGAGAAAATCACCTTGTTACTTTCGCCCCGGTTTACCCCTAAATGGAATAAGTTTTCATAAGATTAGTCGCTTTCTGTGTTTTTGTTATTTTGCATCACTGGACTAGACGTCACAGAAAATATAAGCACAAGCAAAACAGTGCTGTGCCACACATTTGTGGTCATAGATTGCCCTCTATTGGTGCTTTGAAGCATAACATGCATTCAGTTCCCACTGACTTGCTGTGGTGTTTTTAAATTTGTATCTTAGTCTTTCTAAATGCAATCAATATTTACCTGGATATCAATGTTTCCCTAAAATAGTTGATAGTTCTATATATTTTATTCAACAACAGTGGACTGGACCTCAAATAAAATATACAGTATATATAAGCTAAACAGTGGTGTGCCAGGAATGTTTGGTCACCTTCTGTTGGGGCTTTAAAGGCATTTCATGTCCATGAAAACAGGAGCAATAGAGAAAGTTAAAATGAGAGCTAAACCAGTGTCTCTTAGTAGCGCAGTAGTTAAGTGATTGTCCTACCAACCACATGACTGACAGTTCAAGGCCAGATCATGGCATGTTGTGCAGTCCTGAACTGAAGAAATATTTCTGCAAATACATTTCATTTTTGACGGCCTTAAGGTTCTTGAAAAGTTACAAAAATTTTAACACACGCCAAGAGGTTCGAAAACCAACCCATTTTGAATTTAATTGGCATACTTGGCATACTGCATTTTAACGAACTCCTCCTAGGGAATTAGTCCAATTGACTTCAAATTTTCGCTGTCCAGTCTAAACTCATTGACGAATAAAAGTTGTACACTTTATTCGGTTATTAACAGTCGACCAGTTTGCCCGTGGCGTGTCATCAAAAAACGATGATTGGCCGTGAAACAGAACGTTGTTATAACTTCAGTATACATGCACACATCTGCACCAAATTTTATATGCATAATAAGAGGCCCATCCTGAATACATCCATATGCCAATATTCACTAGTCATAGCGCCACCTGCTGGCAACAGGAAATTACGATTTACGCTGTAATGTACTACTCCTAATAGAATGTACATCAGCTTCAAAACTGTCGGATTAACGGACGGGTGGTGGCGTCTTCGCCATGACACAGAAAGTTGTTGTATCTCGACTGTTCATGCTCAGATCTGTACAAAATTTTATAGGTTTAATAAGAGTCCCGCCCTGAACGCATGTATCTGGCAACATTTATCCATAGTCATAGCGCCACCTGCTGGCAACAGGAAATTACCTGTACAAACTTTCTGTGGCACATGTATCATGTCCAGACGTACCAAAAAGCCTCTTGGAGCGATGCCCTAAACCCAACAGAAAGTTGATCATTATGAATTTTATTCATTTTTGGATGATTTACACACTCCATACTTTAACCTCTCCTCTAGATTTATCTATCTATCTATCTCACATCTCTGACCTAAACCCTACATATGTGGATAGAGTAATATAATGACTTTAATACAATCAGAATCAGAAATACTTTATTAATCCCTGTGGGGAAAATCTTTTGTCACAATTGCACACTTGTCAAAGGTAGATAGATAAAGCGAATATAAATATAAAGACGAATATAAAGGATTGTGGGTATGTACAATATTTACATTAATAAGAGTTATTATGGTAAACCAAAAAGGAATAGTGGATAAATAGCAACAGAGAATATTGCACATTAATTATTATACAGATAATATTGCAAAAAAACTAGATAATGCGGTCCAGTTTTAAAACTAAGTATCCGTGTGTCTTAGAGGGAGGAGTTATAAACGCAGGAATGACTTCCTGTGGCGCTCGGTGCATTTTGGGGGAATGAGTTTTGCACTGAAAGTACTTCTGTGTTTGAGCAACACGTCATGGAGTCGGTGGGAGACATTGTCCAAGATGACAAGTAGTTTGGACTGTATTTTCCTCTCTGACACCACCAGAGTCCAGCTCCACCCCCACAACATCACTGGCCTTGCGGATCAGTTTGTTGAGTCTGTTAGCATCTACTACCCTCAGCCTGCTGCCCCCAGCATGCAACAGCAAACAGGATAGCACTGGCCACCACAGACTCATAAAAACATCCTCAGCATCGTCCTGCAGATGTTGAAGGACCTCAGCCTCCTCAGAAAATAGAGACGGCTTTGGCCTTCCTGTAGAGGGCTTGAGTGTTCTTGGCCCGGTCCAGTTTATTGTCCATGTGCACTCCCAGGTATTTGTAATCCTCCACAATGTCCACAGGGACCCCCTGGATGGAAACAGGTGTCACTGGTGCCTTTGCTCTCCTTAGATGCACAACCAGCTCCTTAG